TCATCATCGGTATAGCATCTCTAGTGTGAAAAGTTCTTGTTATCCAACCTGTCATTTTTATTGCAGTTGTGACGGCTACTTTATTGTGTTCTTTAAAGGTAAGGTCTTCCCACATGAGTACACCCAGATCCTTTACATTTCTTTTTCATTCTATGTTATGATTTGACTGAGTTTTGTACGTGATTTCTGCGTTTATATTTTAATTTTCTCTGTAGCGCATGAGCTGGAACTTGTCTTCATTAAATACCATATTATTTTCTGTAGCCCATTGAAACCGCAGTTTAAATCTCAATGGAGGTTTGCTGTGTCCTCTGTTGTCTGCTCTTATAAAGATCCTCGTGTCATCTGCAAGGGATGATACAGTACTATAGGTTGTGTCCTTATCTATGTCCGATATGAGGATGAGGAGAAAAAGTACTGGAGCAAGCACAGTACCCTGGGGGGACTGTACTGTACTGGAGCAAGCACAGTACCCTGGGGGACTGTACTGTACTGGAGCAAGCACAGTACCCTGGGGGACTGGACTGTACTGGAGCAAGCACAGTACCCTGGGGGACTGTACTGGGAGCAAGCACAGTACCCTGGGGGGACTGTACTGGAGCAAGCACAGTACCCTGGGGGGACTGTACTGGGAGCAAGCACAGTACCCTGGGGGACTGTACTGTACTGGAGCAAGCACAGTACCCTGGGGGACTGTACTGGAGCAAGCACAGTACCCTGGGGGACTGTACTGGAGCAAGCACAGTACCCTGGGGGGACTGTACTGTACTGGAGCAAGCACAGTACCCTGGGGGACTGGACTGTACTGGAGCAAGCACAGTACCCTGGGGGGACTGTACTGGAGCAAGCACAGTACCCTGGGGGACTGTACTGGAGCAAGCACAGTACCCTGGGGGACTGTACTGGAGCAAGCACAGTACCCTGGGGGACTGTACTGGAGCAAGCACAGTACCCTGGGGGACAGTACTGGAGCAAGCACAGTACCCTGGGGGACTGTACTGGAGCAAGCACAGTACCCTGGGGGACTGTACTGGAGCAAGCACAGTACCCTGGGGGACTGTACTGGAGCAAGCACAGTACCCTGGGGGACTGTACTGGAGCAAGCACAGTACCCTGGGGGACTGGACTGTACTGGAGCAAGCACAGTACCCTGGGGGACTGTACTGGAGCAAGCACAGGCAAGCACAGTACCCTGGGGGACGGGACTGTACAGGAGCAAGCACAGTACCCTGGGGGACTGTACTGGAGCAAGCACAGTACCCTGGGGGACTGGACTGTACAGGAGCAAGCACAGTACCCTGGGGGACTGGACTGTACAGGAGCAAGCACAGTACCCTGGGGGACTGGACTGTACAGGAGCAAGCACAGTACCCTGGGGGACTGTACTGGAGCAAGCACAGTACCCTGGGGGACTGTACTGGAGCAAGCACAGTACCCTGGGGGACTGTACTGGAGCAAGCACAGTACCCTGGGGGACTGTACTGGAGCAAGCACAGTACCCTGGGGGACTGTACTGGAGCAAGCACAGTACCCTGGGGGACTGTACTGGAGCAAGCACAGTACCCTGGGGGACTGTACTGGAGCAAGCACAGTACCCTGGGGGACTGTACTGGAGCAAGCACAGTACCCTGGGGGACTGTACTGGAGCAAGCACAGTACCCTGGGGGACTGTACTGGAGCAAGCACAGTACCCTGGGGGACTGTACTGGAGCAAGCACAGTACCCTGGGGGACTGTACTGGAGCAAGCACAGTACCCTGGGGGACTGTACTGGAGCAAGCACAGTACCCTGGGGGACTGTACTGGAGCAAGCACAGTACCCTGGGGGACTGTACTGGAGCAAGCACAGTACCCTGGGGGACTGTACTGGAGCAAGCACAGTACCCTGGGGGACTGTACTGGAGCAAGCACAGTACCCTGGGGGACTGTACTGGAGCAAGCACAGTACCCTGGGGGACTGTACTGGAGCAAGCACAGTACCCTGGGGGACTGGGACTGTACTGGAGCAAGCACAGTACCCTGGGGGACTGTACTGGAGCAAGCACAGTACCCTGGGGGACTGTACTGGAGCAAGTACCCTGGGGGACTGGAGCAAGCACAGTACCCTGGGGGACTGTACTGGAGCAAGCACAGTACCCTGGGGGACTGTACTGGAGCAAGCACAGTACCCTGGGGGACTGTACTGGAGCAAGCACAGTACCCTGGGGGACTGTACTGGAGCAAGCACAGTACCCTGGGGGACTGGGACTGTACTGGAGCAAGCACAGTACCCTGGGGGACTGTACTGGAGCAAGCACAGTATCCTGGGGGACTGTACTGGAGCAAGCACAGTACCCTGGGGGACTGTACTGGAGCAAGCACAGTACCCTGGGGGACTGTACTGGAGCAAGCACAGTACCCGGGGGGACTGTACTGGAGCAAGCACAGTACCCTGGGGGACTGTACTGGAGCAAGCACAGTACCCTGGGGGACTGTACTGGAGCAAGCACAGTACCCTGGGGGACTGTACTGGAGCAAGCACAGTACCCTGGGGGGGACTGTACTGGAGCAAGCACAGTACCCTGGGGGACTGTACTGGAGCAAGCACAGTACCCTGGGGGACTGTACTGGAGCAAGCACAGTACCCTGGGGGACTGTACTGGAGCAAGCACAGTACCCTGGGGGACTGTACTGGAGCAAGCACAGTACCCTGGGGGACTGTACTGGAGCAAGCACAGTACCCTGGGGGACTGTACTGGAGCAAGCACAGTACCCTGGGGGACTGTACTGGAGCAAGCACAGTACCCTGGGGGACTGTACTGGAGCAAGCACAGTACCCTGGGGGACTGTACTGGAGCAAGCACAGTACCCTGGGGGACTGTACTGGAGCAAGCACAGTACCCTGGGGGACTGTACTGGAGCAAGCACAGTACCCTGGGGGACTGTACTGGAGCAAGCACAGTACCCTGGGGGACTGTACTGGAGCAAGCACAGTACCCTGGGGGACTGTACTGGAGCAAGCACAGTACCCTGGGGGACTGTACTGGAGCAAGCACAGTACCCTGGGGGAGCAAGCACAGTACCCTGGGGGACTGTACTGGAGCAAGCACAGTACCCTGGGGGACTGTACTGGAGCAAGCACAGTACCCTGGGGGACTGTACTGGAGCAAGCACAGTACCCTGGGGGACTGTACTGGAGCAAGCACAGTACCCTGGGGGACTGTACTGGAGCAAGCACAGTACCCTGGGGGACTGTACTGGAGCAAGCACAGTACCCTGGGGGACTGTACTGGAGCAAGCACAGTACCCTGGGGGACTGTACTGGAGCAAGCACAGTACCCTGGGGGACTGTACTGGAGCAAGCACAGTACCCTGGGGGACTGTACTGGAGCAAGCACAGTACCCTGGGGGACTGTACTGGAGCAAGCACAGTACCCTGGGGGACTGTACTGGAGCAAGCACAGTACCCTGGGGGACTGTACTGGAGCAAGCACAGTACCCTGGGGGACTGTACTGGAGCAAGCACAGTACCCTGGGGGACTGTACTGGAGCAAGCACAGTACCCTGGGGGACTGTACTGGAGCAAGCACAGTACCCTGGGGGACTGTACTGGAGCAAGCACAGTACCCTGGGGGACTGTACTGGAGCAAGCACAGTACCCTGGGGGACTGTACTGGAGCAAGCACAGTACCCTGGGGGACTGTACTGGAGCAAGCACAGTACCCTGGGGGACTGTACTGGAGCAAGCACAGTACCCTGGGGGACTGTACTGGAGCAAGCACAGTACCCTGGGGGACTGTACTGGAGCAAGCACAGTACCCTGGGGGACTGTACTGGAGCAAGCACAGTACCCTGGGGGACTGTACTGGAGCAAGCACAGTACCCTGGGGGACTGTACTGGAGCAAGCACAGTACCCTGGGGGACTGTACTGGAGCAAGCACAGTACCCTGGGGGACTGTACTGGAGCAAGCACAGTACCCTGGGGGACTGTACTGGAGCAAGCACAGTACCCTGGGGGACTGTACTGTACTGGAGCAAGTACCCTGGGGGACTGTACTGGAGCAAGCACAGTACCCTGGGGGACTGACTGTACTGGAGCAAGCACAGTACCCTGGGGGACTGTACTGTACTTGAGCAAGCACAGTACCCTGGGGGACTGTACTGGAGCAAGCACAGTACCCTGGGGGGCTGTACTGGAGCAAGCACAGTACCCTGGGGGACTGTACTGGAGCAAGCACAGTACCCTGGGGGACTGTACTGGAGCAAGCACAGTACCCTGGGGGACTGTACTGGAGCAAGCACAGTACCCTGGGGGACTGTACTGGAGCAAGCACAGTACCCTGGGGGACTGTACTGGAGCAAGCACAGTACCCTGGGGGGACTGTACTGGAGCAAGCACAGTACCCTGGGGGACTGTACTGGAGCAAGCACAGTACCCTGGGGGGACTGTACTGGAGCAAGCACAGTACCCTGGGGGGACTGTACTGGAGCAAGCACAGTACCCTTGGGGACTGTATTGGAGCAAGCACAGTACCCTGGGGGACTGTACTGGAGCAAGCACAGTACCCTGGGGGACTGTACTGGAGCAAGCACAGTACCCTGGGGGACTGTACTGGAGCAAGCACAGTACCCTGGGGGACTGTACTGGAGCAAGCACAGTACCCTGGGGGACTGTACTGGAGCAAGCACAGTACCCTGGGGGACTGTACTGGAGCAAGCACAGTACCCTGGGGGACTGTACTGGAGCAAGCACAGTACCCTGGGGGACTGTACTGGAGCAAGCACAGTACCCTGGGGGACTGTACTGGAGCAAGCACAGTACCCTGGGGGCAGGAGTTCCTGCACCTGTCACTCTCCCTCTGTGCCTGCACCTGTCACTCTCCCTCTGTGCCAGCACCTGTCACTCTCCCTCTGTGTCAGCACCTGTCACTCTCACTCTGTGCCTGCACCTGTCACTCTCACTCACCCTCTGTGTCAGCACCTGTCACTCTCCCTCTGTGCCTGCACCTGTCACTCACACACTCTCCCTCTACTCCACAGACGCCGGTGTGTGAGCAAGAGGCGGGCCCCGCAGCTCAAGCTCTGCCTATGACTTACTCCATCGTCTTACAAGACTGCATCAACACCTTCCTCCATGTCAACCTCTCAGCTCATGGTAGGCCTACCTTCCCTCTATAATGCTGCCTCCAACCCATCATAGGTTGATCGCTTGCCTCTTAATGATGTTTGTAACCCATCATCAGTTGAGCAGTTGCTTCACCACTAGAGGGGCGAGGGGGTCAGCCCCCAGTAGTCCCCAGGGGTGCTGAAGGAGCTGGTGATGGGGGAGGCTGGTGGTGGTGGGGGAGGCTGGTGGTGGTGGGGGAGGCTGGTGGTGATGGGGGAGGCTGGTGATGGGGGAGGCTGGTGGTGGTGGGGGAGGCTGGTGGTGATGGGGGAGGCTGGTGGTGGTGGTGGTGATGGGGGAGGCTGGTGATGGGGGAGGCTGGTGGTGATGGGGGAGGCTGGTGGTGGTGGTGATGGGGGAGGCTGGTGGTGGTGGTGGTGATGGGGGAGGCTGGTGGTGATGGGGGAGGTTGGTGGTGGTGATGGGGGAGGCTGGTGGGGGGGCGGTCTGATCGTTAGGTTACCTTGAGCTGTTTTTGGGGCTTAGCGTCCCTGCGGCCCGGTCGTCGACCAGGCCGCCTGGTTACTACGCTGGTCAACCAGGCTGGTGGACTCTGATCCTCGTAGCCTGACGTATGAGTCACAGCCTGGTTGATCAGGTATCCTTTGGAGGTGTTTATCCAGTTCTCTCTTGAACACTGTGAAGGGTCGGCCAGTTATGTCCCTTGTGTGTAGTGGAAGCGTGCTGAACAGTCTCGGGCCTCTGATGTTGATAGTTCTCTCTTGAGCACTGTGAGGGGTCGGCCAGTTATGCCCCTTATGTGTAGTGTGACGGTGTCCCACCCCTATATTTCTCCTAACCCAGCCTAAAAAGTCATATCTCCATAACCTGAGCATTCTCTGATATCCAGGGAACATTTTCATATTTGTGAGAGTGTGGAGCGTTATCAGGTTGGCTGTAAAATTGCCATTTACGTTTGATTATGCAAGGGGCTTACGCCCTTTTGAGGCACAAGATGGCGCCGAGCCATTCTGTTTCCTGCCAAAGCATCGCGACGCCTACCGGCACCTAATTTGCCAGGTATGGTCACGTGCCGGAAGTGACCAATGACAAGAGCCCTCGGGCGGCGTGACGTCACGAGGCGGAGAGCTTCCAGGGCAGCTGGTGCCTGGGCGGGCAGAGTACGTCACAGACCGTCGCAGAGTGAAGACGCATTCCAGTGAGCTCCAGATCTAGAGGCCAGAGAGCCCTTACCAATGGATTTAAACATCGCTTTAATACTGCAGTCATCCCGTGGAGTGCCAAGGTGCAAGGACCGGCTGGGCTAGAGTCAAGAGCTCTATTATCAAGAGTCTGTAGCAGGGACAAACGTTGGGCTGGTGACGTCTGGGACGCCCAGCGGACCACATTCTACATATCAAGCGAGTAGTGATGGCCGGGCCGAATCTACTGAAAGTGAGGCAAGGGGAAGCTGTACTGGACTGCAAGTTGGATCTACAGTGCCAGTGAGAGGAGGAGGAGAGTGACGGCGCTGGTACCTGACTCCAGCACCCGGAGGAGGAGGACCGTACCTGCCGGGTGTGAGGACGGCGAGGATGCGCTACTACGAGGACGACTGAGGAACTTATGTGTGCGGAACTGATCAACGGAAGACCAGAAGCCAGGAACCTCAACATCCATCGCCAGAGGGCGAGTCGGCTTCGTAATGGAATGAAGTAACATAGATAGTTATCCCTCCCTTTACCCCTTTGATATAGGCGAGCTTGGATATTCTGTATATCATGAACATTTCTTGTTGCCATTTATTGTCTATGTGACAGTGTTAGGCTAGGAGCCAAGGAGCTCATGTAGGCATGAGTTGGTAGTGGAACATAAATATGTAGATATGGTGACGTTAGTGTATCTGGAAGTAGCGGCTGGTTTTCAAGAAGCCAGAAACAAACTTTGAGTTGCCCAGCTGATCGTGTTGCCAGAGGTGCGAGGTGTGTCCCGCCAATTTGACAGTTGGATCCAACCAGCTGATTGAGTTGTGCGAGGTGTGTGTCCGCTGTCATTGGACAATTCCATCTATTTTATTTCCTCATGCAAGTGTATATATTTTCTTCAGTAAACTTTTATTCTTAGCAATGTGTTTGAGTGAGCCTCCATTTTCTAGGGCTATTTTGAGTGAGACCAATATGTCACCTTGCACTGCACATGAGATTGCATCCTTGATTTAAGATAACTAATGAGACCACTAACGTGTTGCTGGGACACGAGTGTAAACACCCAGCTGGCCACCTTTGAACAGACTAGATAGAGATAGAATCTCCCAGTGTCAAGACGGGCAGGTTCAGCTGTGAGACAGAGGGGCTTGAACCTCTCTACTCCCTACGGGTGTTAAAGTCCAGCCCTTGGTAGACTTGAGAGCCCCCGGGGCGAGCAGTGGCGCCAGATACGAAGGGGCAAAGACCCGTGGGAGCGGCCCCAACCATATAAGGTAGGAAGGGGGAGAACCTTGACAGTAGTGGAAGCCTGTTGAGCAGTCTCGGGCCTCTGATGTTGATAGTTCTCTCAGAGTACCTGTTGCACCTCTGCTCTTCAATGGGGGTATTGTTGCACATCCTGTCATGCCTTCTGGTCTCATGTGATGTTATTTCTGTGGTAGAGGGACTGGTTTTTGGACCAGTCCCTCTACTATTTTCCAAGTGAAATTATTATGTATCTCTCCTGCCTGTGCTCAAGAGAATACAGATTTAGGCATTTTAGTCCGTCCCAATAGTTTAGATGTTTTACTGAGTGGATTCTAGCAGTAAAGGATCTCTGCACGCTCTCCAGGTCAGCAATTTCTCCAGCACTGAAAGGGGCTGTCATTGTGCAGCAGTACTCCACTCTAGAGAGCACAAGCATCTTGAAAACTCTTATCATCGGTATAGCATCTCTAGTTTGATAAGTTCTTGTTATCCAACCTGTCATCTTTCTTGTAGTTGTGACGGCTACTTTATTGTGTTCTTTAAAGGTAAGGTCATCCCACATGAGTACACCCAGATCCTTTACATTGCTTTTTCATTCTATGTTATGATTTGATTGTTTTATGCGTGGTTTCTGCGTTTATATTTTCATTTTTTCCATAGCGCATGAGCTGGAACTTATCTTCGTTTTAACACCATATTATTTTCTGTAGCCCACAGAAAGACCTGATTTCCATCTCATTGGAGGTTCGCTGTGTCCTCTGTTGTCTACTCTCATAAAAATCCTAGTGTCGTCTGCAAAGGATGATACAGTGCTATGGGTTGTATCCTTCTTTTTCCGACATACGGATGAGAAAAAGTACAGGAGCAAGCACAGTACCCTGGGGGACTGACGGCCCCCCCCCTGCGTGGGGGTGTCAGAGTGACAGGTGTAGAGTAACAAGCGGGGTGCCGCAAGGATCAGTGCTGGGACCCTTACTGTTTCTCATTTATGTAACGGACTGCAGGAGTTGAGTCTTTTATGTCGATGTTTGTACTCTGTCAGCACCTGTCACTCTCCCTCTGTGCCTGCACCTGTCACTCTCCCTCTGTGCCTGCACCTGTCACTCTCCCTCTGTGCCTGCACCTGTCACTCTCCCTCTGTGCCTGCACCTGTCACTCTCCCTCTGTGCCTGCACCTGTCACTCTCCCTCTGTGCCTGCACCTGTCACTCTCCCTCTGTGCCTGCACCTGTCACTCTCCCTCTGTGCCTGCACCTGTCACTCTCCCTCTGTGCCTGCACCTGTCACTCTCCCTCTGTGCCTGCACCTGTCACTCTCCCTCTGTGCCAGCACCTGTCACTCTCCCTCTGTGCCAGCACCTGTCACTCTCCCTCTGTGCCTGCACCTGTCACTCTCCCTCTGTGCCTGCACCTGTCACTCTCCCTCTGTGCCTGCACCTGTCACTCTCCCTCTGTGCCTGCACCTGTCACTCTCCCTCTGTGCCTGCACCTGTCACTCTCCCTCTGTGCCTGCACCTGTCACTCTCCCTCTGTGCCAGCACCTGTCACTCACACACTCTCCCTCTGTGTCAGCACCTGTCACTCACACACTCTCCCTCTGTGCCTGCACCTGTCACTCACACACTCTCCCTTTACTCCACAGACGCCGGTGTGTGAGCAAGAGGCGGGCCCCGCAGCTCAAGCTCTGCCTATGACTTACTCCATCGTCTTGCAAGACTGCATCAACACCTTCCTCCATGTCAACCTCTCGGCTCATGGTAGGCCTACCTTCCCTCTATTATGCAGCCTCCAACCCATCATAGGTTGGGGTGATGGTGGTGATATTAGCAGCTGTTTTGGTTGTGGCTGAAGCTCACTTGTAGTGGGGAGGAATTCCGCACAATCAGCTTGGCCTTTTCTTTGTTTTATTATGAAATATAAATGTCTCCTGGCCAGGAGGTAGGCTGTAGAGCGTGTGTAAAGTGCTGCTGGTGGTGGTGATGGTCTGGTCGTGGGCGGTGGTGTCACGTGATGCTTCATCTCCAGTTCTGATGACTCCAGTGTTGATTTTGCAATCGATATGAGATGAGAGTATTAATGGTCACCACATGTGTGACCAATATGCGTCTAATGTGCGTCCAACTGCATCTAATGTGCGTCCAACAGAGTTTAATGTGCGTCAAACACTGCTCCCGCTCGACACGCTATCATCGGCGTCCTCGACGATCTGCTTGACAAACGTCTTGGTTTTGTACCTAACTAACATTTATGCACAATAGTATTTATCTACAGTGGCCTTAAACTATAAGACATCTAACACCATCTCGGACATGCATGAATACAGAGGACATGGGAGAAATATAATTAGACAACTAGGCTATCCATGGAGTATCATGACTAACGTGCTAAACGTCTGCGCATACTGGAGGCAGACGGCCCATCTGCAGGTAGAGGCAGAGTAATCGTAGAATGTAGAGGCAGTGGACCAGAAGATGCGCACAGGGATCATGGTGCTCAACCACAGTGTTACCTGTTAAGTAGATTATAAACGGTAGACACTAATATAGGCACGATATAGTACATAGTATAAGTGATGTTCTACTAAAATATGGAGCCCAGGGACGTGGAGAAACACGAGGACTTAAACAGTGATTGCAAGAGAGGTGATAAGATGGAAAGTATGAACTAAGGTTAACTGAGTATGTATCACATTGTATACAATTGAGGCAAAGGAAAGAGAACAGATGTGTAAAAACCACTGAAGAAGGCGTTACTCAGTTTAACTTTCTCAGGAAACCCCCTCCCCATCCGGCCCGTTGGCGTCGTGAGGGGGCTTGGTGGATGGCTGCCGGAGTGTGATGCTCCATTGGGCAGTCCTGTCCTTTTCTGGCCTTGCACTCCTGCTGCTGTCTTCTCCAATTGTGCCGGATCACTTTTCCTTTTCCTTATGTTTCGTTTTTCTCCCCCCTCTTCTCCTATCTGCTTGTCGTTTCCTGCCGACCTTTTGCTTGTTTTGGATTCTTTCTTTGGACTTCTTCTATTTTGACGCCCGGGTGCTTGAGGAGGCATACTCTTGCACCCGTAGAACTGTAGTACCCAACGTCTCGAGCGAGGGGAACCTTTTATTGTCAATCCCCCTTTCGTCGCTGAACCCGATCTCGACGCACTGACGGTTCTTAAGGTGGCGTTTGTAGGGCGTATACTCACGACGCACCCCTAGGGGGCCCCGGCATGATCGGCGATAGCTTCCTGTTGGGTGTCCTGCCTCTAATTATGGCTCCATGGTGGGTATGGGGGCACATTCGTGGATGAATTTGTCACTTTTCGTCTCTATGTCGTTGAATGTTTCCGTTGTACCCTCTCAGGCTCGTGGGGTGGGCGACCAAGCCCCCGAGTCGGCCTGTATTGGAAGACCAGGCTCTGTAGCTCCCGCTGCGTTGGGCCCCGACCTTGCTCCTCCTTTGACCGTCCTGACTTCTTCCCCCAGCTCCCCTCCCTCCTCTGTGGTTGGGTCGAGCCTCCAGCCCCCGGTGGTGACCACTTCGTCCCCTGGTGTGGCTAAGTCTTTCGTTGTGACTACTGCGACTTTTGACCCCTCTCTCTCTAGGGGTTCTCAACGCCGTTCGCGCCCCAACCGCACTCGCTCGATTCCTTCCCGTGCTGATGCGTATCAGGCCTTGTTTGGTCCTGCTTCATGGGCCAAATACTTTGATCTCCTCCCTCTTGATTCTGCGATTCCTGACGATTTCTCCCTCCATCGGCATCTTGTAGATTCCGTGGATGCGTCTGTTACTTTCAACCCCACTCGTCTCGGTACACGTGTCGTTGCTGCTCCTTCTCAGGATGCGGCTTCCCGCTTGGCTGCCTTATCTTGCCTTGGCGAGATCCCTGTTCGGGTCTCCAAGAACGTTCAGATGAATGCCAGTGTTGGCACTATTCTCCTCCCACCCCATGTTGCAACCGGTGTTCGGAATCTGCAGGATTGCCACGATGATATTCGGCATATCCTTGATGCCCAAGGCCATTCTGTCCTCCAGGTTGACTCGTTTACTCGTCCCCCTCGTGGTCGTCGCCGTCAACTCCTTCACGTTGTGAAGATCACCTTTGATGGTAGGACCCTTCCATCCTCTGTCATTCTTGCTGGTGCTAGGTGCTCTGTCCAGGAGTATATTCCTTCTCCTCGACTTTGTAACAAGTGCTGGAGGTTTGGGCATGGTGCCCTCCACTGCTCTGGGACTGTCTCTCTCTGTCCTTTGTGTGGGAGTGAAGGTCACTCTAAGTCGGAGTGCACTTCTCCCCAGGCTCGTTGCCTCAACTGCGGTGAGGCCCATCCTACCTTCTCCCGTGCGTGTGTCCTTTACAAGCTTGAGGCAGCCGTCCTCAACTTGAAGCACCGGGAGCGTTTATCATTTCCTGAGGCGAGGCGCCAGGTTCGCCGGCTCCCGCCTTTTGCTAATATCTCTTATGCTCGCGTGTTGCTCTCTTCCTCTCCTCGTCCTTCCCCCCTTCCTCAGACTCACAACCGTTTCCGGGCCTTGGACCCTGATGCGCCCACTGCCCCCTCCTCTGTTCCTTTGGGTTCTCTCCCGAAGGATCCTCCTCCTGGTCCTCTGTCTGGGGTTCCCCTTCCTTCTACCCGGTCTGTCGTGTCTCCTGTGTCTTCTTCCTCGTCCCCCTCCGATCCTCCTTCCCATCCTCTTCCTCCATCTATCGGCTCTCCCCACCGCCTGTCGGTGCGGGCGGATGTCCATCGCTCTCCTAACGGCCGTCGTGTGTGCTCTCGTTCGGCTTCTCCTGTTGAGACACTGGAATCCGTTGCCCGGTACGTAGTTGCTGGGACACCGGTCTCTTTAAGTCAGAAGCGAAAGCCTGGCTCCTCTCCTTCCTCTTCCCCGGCGGGTAAGAAGGCTTCGCTTTCTTCCTCAGCTCCTACTTCTGGCTCTGTTGCTCCTTCCCCTCCCGTTTCAGTGATTGCGCCCCCTGTTCCTGCTATGGAGGCCCCTGCTTCCCTTTCGGTTGCTGCTCTTGCTGAGGTGCGCTCCCCTCTTTCTACTCCCCCTCTTCCTGCTGCTGTCCTTGACTGCTCCTCTCCGTTGTCTCTTCCTCCTCCTCCTCCTCCGGACCCCGCCCGCCCACCTCTTATCTGTTCTCCCGTTTCCTTCCCTCCGTCTTTGCTCAGTTTACCCATGCCCCCTAACCCTGACTTTGCTGACCCTGATCCCGACCCAGATATTCTTTAACGTGCTCTGTTGCTCTTTCGCCTTTGTTTCTTCCTTGTTCTCTGTTTTTGTCCTTTCTCTTCTCGTCGTTGTCCATTCTTCAATGGAACGTTCGAGGTTATTACGCCAATTTCCTCGAACTCCAACTTCTGATTTCGCGGTTTTCGTCCCTTTGTGTCTGTCTCCAGGAGCCAATGCTTGGTGCTCGTCCTGGTCGTTTTCGTGGCTATTCCTTTCTCTCCCCGTCCCCCCCCAGCCATTGCTGGGGCTTCTAATTCTTCTGCTCTCTTGATTCATGCTGATGTTCCCTTTGTTCCTTTGCTTTTTCCTTCGCCTCTCCATTGTTCTGCTGCTCGTATCTTTGTGGGGAAATGGTACACAGTTTGTTCCATTTATCTCCCCCCGAGTGTCCCGCTCTCTCTTCCTGATTTGAAACACCTCCTAGACTCCTTGCCGGAGCCTGTGCTCCTGCTGGGTGACTTCAATTGTCGTCATTCTCTTTGGGGTGACGTTCTGACGAATACCCCGGGGTCGCCTCCTTGAGCCGTTTCTCCTCTCTTCTTCCCTGTCTCTTCTGAATTCTGGTGAGCCCACTCATTTGGACTCTCGGACTCGCACCCTTTCTTGTCTTGATCTTTCTCTCTGCTCTTCTTCTCTTTACTTAGATTTCACGTGGCAGGTTCTTGATGACCTCCATGGAAGTGATCATTTCCCCATCCTTGTTTCCTTTTTCTCTTTTCGCCCTTCCCTCTCTTTCCCTAGGTGGCAGTTTGCTAAGGCGGACTGGACCCTATTTACCCTCAGTGCTGCTCTCTCTGACCTCTCCCTTCTGCCTCTCTCTCGCGCTCTCCTCCTTTTTCATGACACTGTCTTCGACGCTGCCCTCCGCTCTATTCATCGCTCTTCCTCTCGGGGTACACGGAAGTGCGTTCCCTGGTGGAATGCGGACTGTGCTCGGGCTGTCCGCTGTAAGCGTGCAGCCTGGAAGAGGCACCGCCGTAGGCAGACGACCGATTCTTTTCTTTTCTTTCGGAAAGCGAGTGCGGTGGCCCGTAGGGCCATCCGTACGGCTAAACGTGAATGTTGGGCATCTTATGTCTCAACAATTACGTCCGAAACCCCTCTGGCCAAGATCTGGAAGCGTATCCGCAAGATAGCGGTTAAGTTCGTTCCCGATGTTTCACCGGTCCTTCACCTCCATGATACTCTTGTGGCGGACCCGTTGCAGGTCTCTTCCGAACTGGGTTCCCACTTTTCTTCTGTTAGCTCTGGTCTTCATCTTCCCCAATCTTTCCTTCTTCGTAAACCTGTCCTTGAGTCTCGTCCTTTAGATTTCTGCACTCATCTTCAGCTTCCCTATAATGATCCCTTCTCTTTCTCTGAACTTCGTTCTGCCCTGGCCCTCTGCGGTTCTACGGCGGCGGGCTCCGATGGTATTCATTATGAGATGCTTCGCCATCTCCCTCCGAGCACGTCTCAGTATTTACTGAGTCTGTATAATCGGATCTGGGAGTCGTCGTCAGTCCCTGAGGACTGGCTCGATGCCGTTGTCCTCCCTG